GGGCTACCTGTGACTCCTCCAGATAGCCCTGCGCAGGCTGCGAGCAGCTGCAGCGTGGGGCGCCAGCCACAGGGGGTGGGGGGAAGGGCCGCTTTCCTCCACGCCGGGAAGGAGCAGGGAAGGAGCCTGGGGAAAAGCCAAGCGTTGGGGGGTGGAAAAATGGCCCCTCGCCCATCCTGTGGCCAGCGCTCCCTGCTGTAGCCACTTGCAGCCCACACGGGGCTGTCCTGAGCAGGAACAGGCAGCCCCATGCAGGCTGCGAGCGGATGCAGCCCAGGGAGCCGGCCACGGGGCGGGGAAGGGGCCACTTTCCCCACCCCATGCTCAGCTTTTCCCCAGGTCACTTTTCCTCTGGGTCCTTCCCTGCCCTTCCCTTCCCCCGCCCCTTCCCCCTTACCTGCGGTTCTGGCTCAGGGCAGCCGCATGGTCCCAGGCCAGAAGCCCCTGCTGGGGCTCCTGGCTGGGGGGGCGGGGCCGGGCGGGCCCTGCTATTGTGGGAGCCCTCCACGGCTTCCCCTGGGTCCTACTGCCCTTGGTTCCTGTCATTTTTTACAAGAACCAAGGGCAGAGAAATATTAATTTTCTAAATTTTTAGGGGCCCCAAGGGCCAGATAGAATGGCCTCACAGGCCAGATCCAGCCCATGAGCTGTATTTTGACCACCCCTAGGCTAGTGGTTAGGGCAGTCTCATTCTCCTTGGAGGCAGGAGATGCATTTGAATTTCCTGAGGCTTAGAATGGAATTAAACCTAGGTCTCTAACTTTCTGCACTGTTTTGGGTCCCCTTTTAAGTTGCCTAACTTTCCCCATTGGTTGTATAAGGAGCTCATAATATGCAAGTGCTGGCACCTAAGGGCATAGACAGAAGTGACAATTTTCACTTGATCTAGCCCCAGAAAGAATTGGATATGCCTGTGTCAAACAGACCAACCAGAAGTGCATGGCTGCACACCCCTTTAAAAGGATCCGATTCTGCAAAAATCATGAGGGTTCAGATGAACATACTCCAATGTTCTGTAACTTGTGTCTGTGGCGCTCCCAGCCTGTCTGTTTTCAGACTGGGAGGAGGGGAAGAGAGTTTGGTCTGTTGGGGGGAAAAGGAGCAGAGGGAGTTCAGTCTGGGGGGGTTTCAGCAGGTGCTGGAGGGTGGGGTGGGTGGATTGGAGGCCTCCTGCAATGCGGGGCTCCAATCCACTCACCCCACCCTCCACAACTGGCTGGGAAACCCCAAGAACGGGCTTCCTCTGCTCCCTTTCCCCACTCCCAATCTGGAAACAGCAACAGGCTGGGAATGGTGCTGCTATGGAGACTGGGCTGCAGATGCTGGCAGCAAACAACTCCCAGACTCAACAGTGAACTTCTGTTTGGTCCAGGAGATCATTGCAACTCATAGTGCTTCTGGTAAAGCACTATAAATTGCGACAAGGAGCTGCTCTTTTGTCCACACCCTAAATGCTTTCATTTGTATTGGTTTTAACACCACCTACTATGTAGGTCACGTTTTGAGATGGAGTTCCATGAGAGCTATGGAAGACTGAAAAAAAACACAAAACAAACCCCTGAACTTCTGTAGTTTCAGAAAATGCAGATATTTCTTCAACTTCCAGACTTCCATCATATCCAGCCAGTTATTTTATCCCATAAACCATCTTGGAGCCCACTGGGTCCTGCAGTCTGTGCCTTCAAACCTTTCATCTCCTAAAAGATCCAAGGTACTTAACAAATGCTGAGCCAGATCACTGGACAAAGTAAAATAAATCTTTAGCCTGCTTAAATAACCAGTAGATTCAAATGGTCCAATAAACATTGATAAACTGCACATGTCTGAGGTGATATCAGCACACTGGTACAAATAGGCTTATTTGTTGCGCTTGGGGAATGTGAGCCTAGGCCCACCATGAATATATAGTGAATACCACCATGAATATATATAACATATATAGTCTTATAGCTATAAGCCCCCTCTTAAAGAAAGCTGCTAAGACAGTAACAACCGATTGCTTGGGACAATTAATTTTTTTTTTTTTTTTTTTTTTAAATAGGAAGGGGAGGGAGGTCACAGGTTCAAAACAACAAGGGTATCCAGCCAGCACCCACTGCCCCTTGAATGAGTCGAGGGAACCTGTGGACTCCAACCAGTGAAACTCTGCCTGGACACGAGCAAAGGAGTGAGAGAAAGACAGCCCCACGTTCACCCGGGTTCCCCACCCCACCACCAGAGTCTCCTTTGTGGTCAGGTGTAAATCGCTAGCTTGGCTAGGCCCAGGAGAAGGTGGACCAGGAAATCTTGGGGCTTCATGGGGCCACAATTGGGGAGTGTATAAATGAAAAAGCACAGACAGAACCGCAGCCAAAACCTCAGCAGGAGGTTCTGGAGGAGGTGGAAGAGAGGCTGCAACCCGGCACACACAAGGTAGGCATGAGCAGAGGTCTCTTTCTGTTGGCAAAAGGGGCAGGTGTCGAGGGTGCCTGCGAAAAGGCAGGAAATCAAGTACCTCAACACTCAAGCATCCCACCAAAACCAAATCATCTCCACTGCGCTCCTACAGGTGAAAGTCACACAATGGGAAAGTTCTACTGACTTCCGAGAGGCTGGAGGCACCCTTGGGAAACTAAGCTTTGCCACCCCCCAACGCCATCTCTGCATATTCAAAAACTCCTGGCACAGGCAGATTAACACACAGGCCAGCTGCCAAGTCCAGTGCCCCCTGCCTCGGTGCAAATGAAACCAGCAGCCAGGTTGGACCCAGTGTGCACAACACAGCAGGCTGTGGCTGCCGGGCACCATTTGCTGGACGCCGCTACCACCAGACTGAGCTGCGGCAGGACAACAGAGCTCAGTCCATGCTGCACATGCCTGGCAGGCAGTGGCTCCACACCCCGGTGCCAGCTCCATAACGGACCTGTAGGCAGGGGTGGCCACGGCTTCCACCTCAGGCCTGGGGACCAGCATGTCCTGCTCTGGCTGCAGTTCCCACTGTGCCAGCTGGGGAGAGTGCCCTTGGCTGCAAGGCAGGGTGCTGGGGGCAGGTGGGCCCAAATGAATTTTAATCCACCCCCAAGCCTTTCACCAGCAAGCCTGGCACTGCCTGCCACCCGCGCAGGGATGCCAGCTCCACACCTTGCTTTGAACCTGACGCTCACATGAGTGAACAAAACCAGCCCTCCCGAGGGGAGCGCCAGGGGGCAAGGAGCAGATCTGTACGTGTATCTGTTCATGTGTGCGTGCGTGCGCATAGGTATTTTATCCAGGATCTCAGGCTGGCTGAGCCTTGGAGACTGGAGCGAAGCAGGCCTCTCTGCCAGGACAGCACAGCACAGAGGGAGCTGCTGGTGCAAGCGGCCCACCTGGGAGGGGCAGCCCCCCTGGCCTAGGCCGGGCTCACCCGGGGCGGGAAGGGGGCGAGGGCGGCAGGCAGAGCGGCGGGCAGCGGGTAGAGCCAGAGCCCGAGCCCCGGCCGCAGGGCAGGGCAGGGCAGGACAGGGCAGGGCAGGGGGCGGCTTACTCTTGGTGGCGGCGATGAGGGTCTTGCCGTCCTTGAGCAGCTCCTTGATGAACTTGTTGGTCCGGTCCAGCTCGGCCTCGTGGGCGCGGATGCGGTCGCGGAGCTGGGGGCTGTCCAGGTAGCAGTCGCTGAACTCCAGGGCCAGCAGCCCCATGGCT